AGTCAAGGGTGGTTAATTAACTAAAATTTCCTTCAAGTTTATGAAATAACGTAAATTATTGTCCTTAAATTTTTAGCCGTTAAAATGAACAACAATAAGGTAATTCTATAGATATTTATAAACTTATATAACCGTATGTTATAACATTTAGTTAGTGGCTCATTAATGGATAAGAGGATTTTTGTAATTAATATCACATTTCACGGGATTAATTTTTAAATAAAAAAATTGAGAAATTATAATTAATTCCCCTTTTTATTGAAGTTAATTTTAATATAGAATATAAAATTTGCATAATTTTTCTACTATGTGTTAGATATACTATAGTTAATGTCTTAATGAACTGATGAAAATCAAAGTTGGCCACAAACTTTGGTCTTGCCAATCCCGTCAAAGTGGAGCCATGAATTTACTGTCGACAAGCTACGTGTCATCTATTGATTAATCGGTTAAGGAAGTCAACCTTGAATTACACGCCCCATCACAAGTACAGCTGTGGTTGCAGTCACGCCACGTTGAGAAAGTCAACCAATTAAATAAAAGTCCATGAAAAGGAAGTGGGCATAGGTTGGACCGTGACCAAAGCTGGGCCGGTTTGTGTGCTAAAATTAAAACCACCGTTTGGTTAACTTAGTGGTCGGGTTAATCGATGACGTGGAGAAGTGGTATTTGAAAATAGAGAGTATTGTCACCGCGTCACGGGCCGGGTGGGGTGAGTCATAAGTGCCGGCAGTTTGCGTGTACACATGGTGTGAGTGCGACACGTGTTTTGTTTCAGCATGCAACACAAGTTGTGATACAGCTACGTCTACACGCTTCATTCATTCAAACCTCATCATGAAATTACGATACACATTTCTGCTTATATTATTATTATTATTATATCTTATGATCTACACTGCCGTATTCATAAATTTTACACCATTGGGATACTCTGTTTGGTTAGTTTTTTAGAATAATATTCTATTATAAATAGTATTTTTGAAAAATATGATAAAAATTTGAGAATATATTTAGTAAATTTTGAAAAATATTTTGTTTATTTTAACCTCCTAAATTTTTTAACTTAACCTCCTAAATTTGCTAACTTAACCAAACACTCCCCACAATAAAAGTTTATAAATTGACAAAAACATCTTCATCCACTCACATATTGCCAGCAATCAACCACTATAGTTGAAAGGTGGTCGAAATCCATTGGAATTGTGCATGATCGACTGGATTTGACTAATCGTGGGTCGATTTGACCTTTTCCGACTAGATCTACGGCTATAGATCTGGTTGTCATTGACAACCATATCTTGCTCGTCATTGACAACTATATCTACGGCCACAGATATGGCCGTAGTCAACGGTCAGATATGATCGTTGTCAATGACTAGATCTGATCGTCTAATGGTCATATCTTTGGCTATAGATCTGACCACTTTCGACCATATCTATGGTGGATTTGGTCAGAAACGGACAGATCGGTGTACAATCGGTCAAATCTAGCCTATCGTGCATCGTTGCTATGCCAGCAACTTATAGTGGCAGTGGCGATGGCTGGCGGCAACGATGGCTGCTGGCGAGTGATAGTGGCTTGTGTGGGTGAGGGTTGTTAATTTTAAAACTATTATTAAAAAATGTAATTGTTAATATTTTGAGTTGAATATAATAAGATTGAATTTTGAAGAATACTAAAACAGATGCATTTTTAATTTTTTTAATATAAGATAATGGGAAAAAAGTGTGTTAAACGTAGCCTAAAATTTTTCTTATTAAGGTTTTAATAATATTTTTTATTTACTTTTAATGAAATATTTTTTACTTTATAACATATAACGTTAGATTCTATAAATTCATATTTAATTATATGATTTAACATTATAATTAAAATATGAATCTAATCTAGTGTATGTTGAATTACTATTTATTAATGGTAATTAGGTTATATGATTAATTATATTTTTCAAATGAATCATTGATATTTTGAGAATTAGAAGTAAATATAATTATAAAGGATTATTCTTATTATCATTATTATTTTGATAATTGTAACATATAAAAGCCCATGATTATTTGAGGTTTTCTAATGAACTATATTTGGGGGTTTTGTTTTTAAGTTTGCCAAAGATAATAGAGCTATCAACACATTATTCTAATTATAATATATGAATGGAATTAAAGTAATAAATTTATATAAAATTTCCATATATATATATTCTTTCTCAAATAATGTCAATTTTATTAGCCTAACTCAATCCATTAAGCACTCTACATCTTGATTGTTTTGTGAATAATCAAATACAAAATCAAGATTAGCCTAACAAGTTATGATTGATTTCATAGGATTCCCATTATACCACTTTCTATTAAATACTAATAATTCATAATTGATTGTATTTTAGCTCATTTTGGTCCAGGAGAAGCATAATTTTTAATCATAATATTTGGCCAAGTCATGATTATATCAAGACTTTGGACTAATACACTTTGGTCTAAACAAATACAATGGTCCGAGTCAAAATTCGGTGCACCGGCGGACCGATCCATGCACTAAATTACTGATTAAATTCTAGTTTATTCTATAATTAAATAAGAAAATAAATCAAGCTTAGGCCGACAAATTCTAAGAAAATTCAGTATCTTATATATATATATATTGGTAATTATCCAGCGACTGGGTTTGAGTCCGTTGATTAACGAGTGAATAACAAATACCTCCTTCAGGTTAGTGAAAGATAGAGACACTCAATGGTTTAACAAAAGTAACAAAAATCCCCCTATATTCAATAAAATATACAAATAAAAAAAAAAAATTTCTTAAAAATGGGCAAGCAATTGTATAATTTTTTATTCATTTTTGTTTCATGTTATTGTTAATTTTTATTACTAATTTTATAACTTTTTTCATAATTTGTTATTTTAATAATACAACCTGAGTTAGATTTTGTATTAAAGTAATACGCTACAAGTGAGGGTAAAATAGTACTCACCTAAAAACTATTGTGTCAAATTTTGTTTCTCTTAACATTTATTTAATAAAAATTGGGGGAGTTTTGATACTTTATGAAACTATTAGGTGCGTTGGGACTTTTACTAAACCTGAAGGCGGTATTAACATTCCCTCGCTGGTTAAATTAAGGGAATCAGACCACGTGCTTTGCATGTGTCACCTAACACGATTTCAGTAAGCTACACGAATCAACCATTTAAAACTAAATAAAATTCAATAAATTTGACCAAAAAAAAAAAATCCCAATTTATAAATAAAAATATTAGTATTTGAAAGAGGGTATAAGAAGAGAAGCCGACATCCTCAGCAAAGAAGATAAAAGAGCTCACTTTTGAGATGTCGTACGTTCACATTGAAAATAAATAAATAAAAAGAAAAGCCAGAATTGTCCACACGTTCATATTATGTTCAATAAGTGAAGTCATTTTTATCTCTGTAATAGCGAAGAAGCTACCTCTGGACTTTTGATAATCTTTTGATTTGTTTAAATGAAAAAAGAATGTCTTTCTGCTGAGTGGTGAGAAAAGTTTGGCTTTTCCTGGAACCCAAACAAACCGACAGAGAATTTGAAAATCTGACTGCTGATTAATGACTTGGAAGTTTAGTTTCATTTATGAGTTCAGACGGAACAGTTGACAAGAGACATTTTTCTGTGAGTAAACTAGGGTTTTAATGACTGACTGGGATCAATCTCACAATTTCAATGCCGCATTTACTTTGCTTGTTTTCTTTCTCATTTTTCTTGCTTTCGATTTCGACAACTCTGTGTGATACCTTTAAATAATCACTTGATTCCAAAGCTTAAATTCATATTACTATTATTCTTCTCTCCATCAGTTAATGCGCTCTACACTTTGACGCGTAATATGTGAACAATTAACACGTCAATTGACAATTTTAGTCGACCATTTTTCAGAGACGAACAATCATTTCTTAAGAAGAAACGATCGTTTATTTATAAGAAATTATTATTCCTTCATAAGTAACATTGTTAAGAAAAAATAACTATTTCTGATCATTCTTTATAAACAAACGTCTCGTTCGTGTCTAATCAAAATCATTTAATGCATTGAATGTGTTGGGAGCTAACGTGAGAATTGCTAACTCAAACTCAGATTGTTGACTGTGATACCTAAATATCAAATAATTCAAAAATATTACATTTACAACCTAATCTCAGAACCTTCTCTTATAACTCTAACGTTACAGTAGAGTTGACACTATCACGTCAACTGACAATTTTGATTAAACATGAATTATCGTTTTTTAGAGACGAACGACCGTTCTTTTATAAAAAATTATTGTTCCATTCATAAGGAACAATCATTGCTTATAAAGGAATGATTGTTAAGAAGGAATGACCATTTCTGATGAAGGAACGATCATTCTTTATGAACAAACGTCCATTCATTTTAACAAACGATTGTTCGTGTCTAATCAAAGTCATTTAGTACATTGAGTGTATTGGGAGCTAACGTGACAATTGTCAACTCAATTATCACATTGGGGTTATAAGATTGGATTATGCACGTAATATTATTCCAAATAATTACTTGATTCAAAATAACTTCTTCACTACATTGGTTGTGCTTTCAAAACCATTGGAGTAAAAGAAATTTCCAGAGCGTGATTTAAGAATTCATTGTTCAAACAACCCAGAAGATCATGGCTTCTTATAATATAAAGAAGAGAATTGACAGAAGAAGAAACAAGGGAAAAGATTGCCAATTCACTTATTTAGACAACATGGGACTGAAAAACATAGGTACAAATACACTTCTGCAGCATTTCCATACAAAAATTCAAGATATCAATGACATAAATTATCTCCAGACTCTGCTACTCAAAGCCTTTAGAACAACATTAGTTTCACCAACTCTAGTAATGATCCTTATGGGGAAGTAACCAACAGGTAAAAATTGAAATCACAAATATCCTAAAATAAGATTTAATTTAGAGGGATGAAGGATAACCAATATGAAATTCATTAAATGAAACTGCACTATTAGATTTCTTTTCTAATTTTTTCTAATCTGAAATAACTACATTTTATTCAGGGATTGGCAGATAGAATCGAACTTGTAAACTGCAATAAAATGGCTAATTACAGGAGTAATATGAATAAGTACGTTGCACACCGAACCGATAAAAGCCATCCCAAAATTTTTATCTAGTCCTACCTTGGAGATTTAGAAGAGAGGCACTTTCCACAGGAGACAAGCTTCAGCAATGAATGTGGCTTTCGCGTTCTAGTTTTCAAACGAGAAAGCTGCAGATGCACACATAAAGTATATTTTAAGATCAATCACATCAAAATCAAATCAAGTTTTACGGTTCAATATAAATCTTCAGAAATCTAGTTAAGATAATGACACTATATTGCAGTAACGCTTTGGCAGTGAAGACAAATTGTTACAATTAATTTATAGAACAAACGCAGCTATGGTGGATCTATGTTTCCAGATCTTGGTTTAATTATTAAAACACACTTCAATAAATACATAGCCTGTAATGAACATGAAATAACTCCAGACTGGTACATGATATATAAGATGCAGTGCTTCTAATTCCCTATGAAATAATCCTTACTATCTAAAGTCAATGTAAATTATCATGTATGTATATCTATTTAAAGTACCATTATCAGCCAAGGATCCATTAATTCATTCTCTTTCCCTCTACGTCTAGCTTGTCTAGTTCTGAATTAAAAAGAAATCGTTATACGTAAATATGCATCTGACTCTTGCATTCCGTAAATTAAAATCATTTCATTGACTTTCTGTTGCTTTTGATTAAAAAAAGAAGCACCACATATTGATGGATAATCAAATCATTTAGCAAAATGAGTAATAGGTCACATGTTGCAAAATGAGTAACATGTTGCCAAAACGAATAATAGGTCACTTTTTGCCAAAATGAGTATTAGTCATAGAATTCCACTGTTAGAAGTGAATAAGAAAGTTCAGTACAAGATGAATTACCTTCCGACGAGTTACACGAGTTGCTTTCCAGCAAAGCAAGCTTCTTGACCTAGGCTCCAATCTCCTGTAAATTAACAAATATAAGAGCCGCAATATTTAGTGCTATGCTTAAAGCCTCCATAAAATAGCATGATATTCAGTAATTATTGATTAATTCAAGTTTTTGGATCAAGACAAGATTTCTAGTGAAACATAACAAGAACCTACTTATACTCCACTGAAATACAGTTGGAATACCTAATTTTAAGAACAAATGTAATTCTAATAAAAAGTTAACATGGTAATTATAAAAAAAACAACAAATACTCACAGGTTCTCTTGTTCAAGCTTTTCAGCAATGGAAACTGCTTTACGTCTTGACCATCCACTTCGCTGTGTACATCCTTCTGCCTGCTGAATTACATGTGCAAGGGAAACCTTGCCTCTCACAAGGCTCTGGCTCTGACTTTGTTCCCCAAGTTTCCTTCTTTCCAAGGTAGAGACCAAGGGCGATTTCTTCTGTGAAGCCGATGCATCTCCCATCCATGTACTCCCACCTCTTTTATTGTATTCTGTTCGACTGCCGGCATGATCGTTGTCTTTGGTTTCCCGGGGAGAGGCTGGTACTTCAACAATTTCATTCCTTCCAATTTCAAGAGATTCAGCGTGTAAAAGCTGTGCTTGCGTGCTTGCATCATGAACATCTCTATCTCTTGTAACTCTTTTGTTAAGTTCACGAGATCTAGCCCAAGGCAATCTGTTCCCCGTATTAGACTCCACATTAGAAAACATCTGAGAATCTTTAGAGGCTAAGCTAAGAGGTGAACGAAACCCCGTTCTACTATCTTTCCTTGATTCACACCTAATTTCAATTGTCACCGGAGAACCAAGAACAGATTCAAATGCTTGAAAAATGTGATCCTTAAACTTTTCTGCCTTAGATTTTGTGAGATGTGAGCTAAACATCAATTGTATGGTTGGAGCTGAAAGAAAGAACAATCAATGCAGACTCAGAATTAGACACCGAGCAATTAATGAGCACAACCGCATTAATAAAAATATAAAAAATAATATCAAGTACGAGTAAGAAGATTGTCAGATAAGCATCTCGTATAGAAGCTAGAGGAAATACCAACAAAAAGTTGTATTCGTGCAGTCTACACACATGATAGGCAATGCTTAACAAGGTATAACTCCAGTAAGGGAAAGGGAAAATGAAGCGTGGATAAGCTGCCTACAGGATCTGACGATAGCATTAACAGTTAAAATTATGAATATGATATGTCATCTCAGTGACATCATCTTTTAGCAACATGAAATCTTTCCATACCAAAAAAATAAAATAAAATAAAATTCAATGAAAGTATAACACCGTTACAAGAGAAGTCAAGTACGAATACATAAAATCATATGTTGTCCCGGAAAAGAGAGTCCACAAGCTGAATTTCTAAACAGACTAGCAATATATTCAGTTGAAATGCATATAATTGTGGTGAAGGAGAATCGCATTTCTAGTAAAACTGGATGCTGGCCGAGGAAAATTGAAATAAAAGTTTGGGGACGGAAGTGTATTACTCAGCAGTTCTTGCGGTTGCTTCAGAAAATCTAAACCTTGGCAAGTTAAGGTCCAACTAACCAGCTTAAAGTTTTACACCTACTTGGAAAAGTAAGGCAAGAAAATACAACATCTAAAACTTTTACCAAAGTGGATGCAACCGGGCTGTCACCAAACAAAAAAGCAGTCAGTGTGAACTTGATAATAAAAGACACGAGACAGCCTAGCCAATTAGTAGACATCTAAATAGCCTTTAGGGAGCATTAAAATCAAAGTGCACCATTGAGTTTTGAGTGGCAATAACAGGTAAAGTTAATATTACATAGGCAAGATGAAAATCCTCCACGTAACATCTTACACTCTACTTCCAGGCCAGTTACCTGCTGTCAAGAAGATATGCCTGCTTCTCCACACTAGCACACAACTAAAATGTAGGGAGGGTACTTTCATTGAGAGTGAAATGGAAGCATGCTCCAAAAATGGTAGCATGCACACGCTAGATAGAGACTCCAATTGATGGAAGAAAAGAGAAACGAAAATTTATTATTCCAAGTTGCAAAAGAAGTGACACTTGTCAGTTGGTTGCATCACAAAAGTGTTTCAGTTTACTAACATTCTGAAGAGGATGAAAACATAAGGGAAGAGGCATGCACAATTTCATCCAATTGACTCGAGGAAATGCAGACGACCTTTGTGACCTGAAAGCGGTTGGAAACTTCAGGTATAGCATGAAAGAAAAAGAATACATTGGTCGAACTGTTCTCTTGACTTTTAACAAAAAAATGAAAGGGGAAATTGAGTGAAATGATGAGAGAAGATTACCTAACGCACTAGGGAAAGAAATGCATTTTGTTTAATTTGATTTAAGCCTTTATGGAAAAAAATGAATGTTAAGTTACTTCGACTTTTAATTAGCTTATTAAACCAGCTCCGAGATCCTGAGTTTCTGAAGTTCATGCTCAAAAGCACCCTCAATGACATTAAATGGACTTCAAAAGCACTAAATTTTCCAATTTAGTTCAACACTATTCCAGTTCCACTAAACAGCACCACAAATTAAAACCTTTCAGAATGCTGACAAATCTCCCCACACGATATAGAAATCATTCTGAATGATACAATTGCATAAATTATAAGATGGTTAAAGTAAGCATAATGCACATTAGGATGTACCTGCACCAAAACTGACAGAGATCAACTTTCCTTCTTTGTACAAAAACTCTTTTATACCATTATTTTGAATCTTCTTAAGCACTTCCAACCAGATTTCTTCAGTTTCAGTGTGGCTTTTGCCTGAAATCTGCCTGCCACTCATTCTAATTGTATCAGTGGATGTTTGTTGAGGAGCTGTCCCAGCCCCAGCATGTCTTTTTCTATCTAGACTAATACCTTTCTTCTTGCTATTATTAACGAAATCACCAGAACTTCCAGCATGGAAATTTTCCAATCTAACATTCATTGACATGCCTGTCTCTTCATTAGACATCATAGCTGGGTCACCACTTTTCCTGGTCATATGACTTCCACCTGCATTATCTAGGGCCAAGGGACTATGATTAAAACTAGTATCTGCAGAAGAACTCGGCAATATGTACTGCTGATCAGGAGCAAGTTGAAGCAATGCAGCCGTTAGCCATGTTAATTTATCATTTGACGTCCTCAGTTGTTTCTCAGCCTCAGACAAAGTTTTTAGAGCTTGACGCAGCTTCTCCATATCTTCTTTTGACACTGGAACCGATAAATTTGTTGTAATATCTCTAGAAGAAGAATACTTTTGAAAAAAAAAGATAAACTTAAAAACTAAAAATGATAAAGATTTGAACTGCAAAAGGAAAAAAAATAAGATCTGAGAAGCTTAATAAATTAAACATAGTTGAGGTAGATGAGCCAATAGAGCTTCAGACTGCACCAAAACTGTTCAAAGATTTTGGTAAGTAATGTACAGTTGTTACAAAGGAGCTGCCTTAACCTAATCCCAGACACAGTGTTCTCTTTTTTTCTTTTTTGGTTGTGTATATGATAAGTAATACTGCATATACATATTTAAAAGGATCTAATACAATTAGCACCAGTTAAAATAGAATGAATGGACTGAGAAGAAGCAATTTTTATACTCACATGGTTGCCTTCTAAAGAACCTCCTTCTATGCCTGTCTTTTCTGAAATCATAACTACCAGCAAGAATATCAGTAATCACAGTAGCAAGTTGTGACATCAAAGCTAAAGGCTCCACACCAGTCTCCATTATCACTCTTAGATTCTTTACAGTGTTTACTGTGTCTGCAGATAATGCTAAATCAAGAAGATCCACCAACTTTTCATCAGAGATAAGCCCAACCTGTGAAAAGAATTCACATTTCAGAGCAATTTATGCATACCAACACCAGCAAATGACACTTAATCAAGTAATATTAAGCAAATGGGAAGAGCCAAAATCACAATGTGGATAGTGAAGCACTTCCTTTACATTTAAACAGAAATTTATATCTTGAATCTCATACAACAATGCCTAGACACCTCCAACCCCAATCCCAACCCACATGCAAATACACACTTTTTGGCTGGGTGAAAAGCGAAGCATGGTACAAATCTGTCCTATTGTCATTAATATTTGCCAAAGTCAAAATGAGCAGCGAAGCATCTTGTTTAGATTATATAAACAGAAATTTATATCCTGAATCTCGTACTACCATGCCTCAACGCCTCCAACCCCAACCCACACTTTTTGGCAGGGTGAAAAGCCAAGCATGGTAAAACTCTGTCCGATTGTCATTAATGTTTTTACCAATTGACCCATCAGACATCCCCCAAGAAAACATACAAGAAGACGAATCACCAACTACTTATCCAAAAACTCAAGTCACATATTAAAAGAATAATCAAGTGTCATCAAATGAATATCAGAGTTGACTTATTCTAAAAAAAAAAAAAAAGTGGTCATTAAACCATAATCATAAAGTTCTTTAGAAGACAAATAGCTCTGCAGCACCTTGCCGAATCAATAGTCAGACTGGTCTACCTACAGAGAACATTTCATTAGCATTGCTTTTGAGCTTACGACTATTACCTTATGGAAAAAAACAATAATGAAGACATTACAATACAAGGAGGGTATCATGACAAAGAAGTCTTTAGTCAGAGAGAAAAGAAGGAATGGAGACAGTCGTAGGAACTCAATTCCTCATGAGTAAGTATACAAAATAACTAACATAAATAGTAAGAAATTAAAAACAACTAAGCAATTTGATTCTGGTTCCAAAAGAATAAAGAACTTACCAGTTCTTGAACCAGAGGAACCGAAATTCTCTGTCCAAGCAAACTAAGTTGCTCTAAGGTCATCTCTGCATCCCGCAATGATCCATCTGATCTTGATGCAATAAGTTTTAGTGCATCCTTGTCAATTTCTATATCTTCCTTGGATGCAATCCACTGCAAAGTATAGATGATATCTGCATCTTTCAACTTTGGGAAAAAAAATTTCTGGCACCTGGATATGATTATATGAGGCAAAACATCAAGGCTTGAACTGACAAGAACAAAAACCACACGTCTGGGTGCTCGATCAATGACCTTCGATATAGCACTCCAGCAATCTAGGGACAGAGTATCACAGTCATCAAAAACAAATATCCTATATTGTGATGGTAGCTTGGAGATCACCATATTGTCAAGTAGATTCAGGATGCCCTCAAAGTCAAAATTACTGACTGGACCAACTTCACGTATATTTCGACTTTTACCCATGTCATGAGAAATACAAGAGTTACAAAAGCCACAAGGCTTGGGATGTTCCAGAGACTGACAGTTCAAAGCTCGAGCAAAAATGCGAGCACAGGAAGTTTTCCCTGTGCCATGAGGTCCATAAAACACATATAGCAACCCAACTTTCCTTCTCATGACGGCATTGGAAAGAGCTTGTGCTACCAAATTCTGTCCCACTAGATCTCTGAAAGTTTTTGGCATGTATTTTTGTGTCAGGTTTTGATGCCTCCCATTGCGGTTTGCACCTAACTTATGCTGGTCACCAGATCTACCTTCAGAAGCAAGGTCAGAATCAATATCATTCTTCAGTAAATGATCAGCAAAAATACCTAGCTCTCCAGAATAGTCATGCACCCAAGCGTTTTCAGTGCTTTCTAGAGATCCAGATGCCTCAACAAGTAGAGGCAGAGCCTCTGCATCGGATCTAGTGGATGAGGTTGAACGATCAGATGCCACAGGCATAGGAATATCTCTTCCATGGGAAGCTCCTTTCCTTATCCTTGAGTCTGACAGACCACAAGAAGTTAAACTTCTTCCAGCCATGTCAAGGAATGTTTTACCCCTATGATGAATTCTTGACCAATTCCATGGAATCCCACACCCATTTCTAGGAGCCCTTGTGACATTTTGATCTCCGTACTCTTCTTCTTCCTCCTCTATGTGATACCTTGGGCGTGCCGAACCTTGAGCTAATGAATTAGAAGCCACAGATATTTCACTCTGACCTTTAATATCCCTCAAGGCTGAAGCAGTCCAATTTCTTCTGGTCCCTCGAAACTTACGCCTTTTTCCCCTATTCAGTCCATTGGAGTAACCACGGATGCTGGCTTCTGGTTCCTCACCAGCTTTCTCCAGTCGAGAACGTCTACCATGAAATTGAACATTTGAAGATGCTAAATCATCACTGTCCATGGGAATATCATCCAACTGCTCAGTGAGGGTCTTAACTCGAACATCTTGGGATTGCTTACCCTTCTGTTTATTCTTTCTATCTTTAATCTCAGAGTTACCTGAAACAACATCTTGAACCAAATAATTACCATCTTGATCTTCTGGAAGCTCCTCATTGCCACCCAAAAGATCAGTCCTACTTTTCCGACTAGATTCTTCTCTCCTAACTCTTCTACCGTCACAATTTCCACTTTTGCTACTACGTTCACTGATTGCTGCTGCTACCCCTTCATTAAGCACACCAACTTCAGCGGGAGCAACTTGTGAGATAACAAAATTCGGCAAAGGAGGTGAGCTTCCCGAAAACCTACTACTATCCCTCCGACGCTCAATGCCAACCGACCTTCTCCCCTCCCAAATAGTGGCATCCTTGTCGCCTTTCTTAGGAAGCAAATCAACAACAGAAGGTGAATGCCACGATGGAGGACTGGCAGAGGGATCCCTAAGAGAACGCGACCTCTGAAGGACTATAAGGTCCCTCATAAGGGACCTATCAGCCAAAATGGGACTCTGCTTATGCATATGGTTTTTCAAGTGAATGCAATTGGTCAAATGTATGTGGTTGCGTAGATGATCACTAATATCACCATTCGCATCCTTGAGAATCCTATCACGAATAGCTTTGGTCATGATCAGAGCATTAATACGTCCAACAACAGATTTTCTTGTAAATTATAGAAACAAATCAAACCAGATTGCATTCTCCTTTGATTCTGTAACCGCCCCAAATCTTCACAATTATAGCATTATGAAAAAGGAAACAAATTTTATTCCCAGATGGGTAACGATACTCCACTGATCGATTGAAGAAACCTACAACATCGCCAAAATTCAAACAATCAAAAACAAAGTTTGAAACAACTCCATCAGCAATAGCGCACCAAAAAGTTTCAAAATTTCCACCAAGAACGACAAATTCTCCAAAACAACATCATTTGCCACTCAAAAGACAAAAACCCATCACTACAAACAACTAAAGAGAAACACATAAATACCTGAAACTCATATTCGAATCCAAAAAATTCGAACTTTGAAGTCGAAAGCAGCAGCAATGGCGACACCTCTCAACTTCAATATGCAAATGATGTAACAACGACAAGAAGTGGATGGTAAAGTCAATCTCCAAGCTAAAAAGGCTTGAAAGATCCAAGCTTTTTAACCAAGTGAAGCGTTTTAAGAACCCATGTGGTGGTAGCAACAAAAGGAGGGCTAGAAGAGAGAGTTCTTTCTTTCTTTCTTTCTTTTTTTTCAACAAGAGAAGCAAAAGAAAGAAAAAAAGAAGCAAAGAATGAGTAATGACTTCACTCAAGTTAATTAGTCACCAGCAAAATCCCAAAAAAGTAAAGTGAGCGTTCCAACCATTAAACCAATTAGATCTCTCTTTCTTTCTCAACCAACTTCACATGCACTTGACCACCTGGGGTTTCTTTCAAACGAAAAAGACAGCCCCCCAACATACCAAAAACGACAACACAGTGAACAGAGAGTAAGTTTTATATAGAGTGTTTTGAGTTTGTGAAGAGATGGTGAAAGATTGGAGTACACAGAAAAAATCTCTAGAGAAGGAGGTGGTAATGGGGATGAGATCTATTACACTTACAGACAGGGCTCAAGAGAAACACAACACATGTGTCCTTTTGTTTGAGCATGCAAATTTTGGTTCTTTTAGTGTATATATATATTTTTTTTTTTTTTTCTTCTCAATAGTTAAGACTTAAGAAAGAGAAAATTTCTTGGACACTATTTTTCAAGCTTTTGGATTTTGAACGGGGACCAAAAAGTTCTTTCTGTTGAATTTATTGCAGTTTCCTTAGTACAGTTTTTTATTGGACTTTCCAAAACGGCAACCATTTAAAAAATAAAAATGTGAAAACCAGTGATGGGGACCTATAACCTTGAATGGTTATTTTTATGCAATTAGATTTTATGAACAGTTGGGTTTTGAGTTGTTTCTTCGCAAGTTAAAGTTCAGTTCAGAATGCAAAACTGTGGGCTATTTTCAGCTTTTGATTCTTTCGATGGTATGATGAAATTTGTGGCAAGGGGTTTTTACTGGTTTTAGTTTTGGAATCAAATTTGAATAATGTGGTAAAGTTTGTGATTAAAGATTCCATAAAGAAAAACCAAAATGTCGTTTAAAACCATAAAGTGAAAAAAAGTTGTTTGGAAGACATAGTACAGTTTTTGGACTGAAATACAGCTGAATGCTGAGTTAACTCGTCACCTGCTGCTTCAACGGCCTCCATAATATTTCTCAATTTTTTTTTTTTTATTAATTTTAATATGGATGGGGTTTGCCAATGTGGAACAGCGACAAGATGGTCTATTGATCGACTTGGGGTGTGGACCAATGCAGATTGTCATGGTAGTCTAAGCAAGGGTTGGTAATATGCCTACAAAGACGTCGTTATTCCGATCGTAGCTAGTAGTGCGCGTAAGGCATGTCATGACACTTGCGCGCTCTGGATGTCGACTTGTAAGCTCTCAGTTCAGTCCAAATATAGATTGAAAACAACAACCGCAAAAAAAAAAAAGATGAAAAAGAGTTTGAAAAGAGAGTCAAAAGAGTATTTGAAATTGTTGGGAGAAAAGTGGGTGAGGGCGAGCGACAACGACCCAATCGGATGTGAAATAGTGACGAGACGATTCAGCACTTGCCTCAAGATGTAGACCAATACCATATAAGATCACTAAAAAACATTATATATAAAATCACATTAATCGGAGTTAACTCTCAAATAGAAAAATGTAGAGGAATTCATTAAAAAAAAAAAAAAAAATTCTGCAGTTGAAATAGTTAATTTACCTCTTGTAAGTAAAATTATAATTTGAATGTGTATGATGAAGCATTAAAAGGTGGGAGATAGGTGGCGGGGTTAGTTAAAGGCTTAAAGGGTTGATCTTAATGATTAGACCTCATTTTGGGTGTAATAAAACAAATAATAAAACTTTTGTCCTTTTTAGGAACAAGTGTTTGACGTGGGGTAATTTATTGTTTTTTTTTATTACGGATGTGACCCTCACTCCACCTTAAAAAAAAAAAAATAGTGATCCAGTGTGGCCCAGTGAGTTTAATTCCCCGAACGGTGATAAGTGATTCCATCTCAACTCAGATCCTTTTGAATATAGAACTATTAGTGTCACAGTCACGTGCGATGATGTTCAAGGACAATGATCATAATCTCCTGCTTCTCACTCCATCAGAATATGCTCTGACATCACCCCCAATTTCATGCCACGTCTTTCCTCAGAAAATCTGACCGTTGCGTTTGTCACTACTGAAACATCCGCTGAATTATGATAAGACTAGAGTAATAAGTTTTTCGATGTAGATTTTCAATTAATGTAATTATTTATTTCTAGTTGCTGAAAATTATTATTCCTTCAATAAATTAACAATTATTAAATTGGGAAAATGATGATCATAATCCTTTTGACATGGTTTTTGGAATTTGATTGGTTGACCAAGTAAAGGCAAATCAATTTAAGAGTTGAGTCTAGAATTCTTCTCTAATCACTTTAACATTTTTTTCTCATCACAAAACAATGATATATGTTTAATGAAATATAGTGTTGCTATTATGTTGTTTTACGCTCATCAAGTCGTCATTGAATAGGTTTTTAGGAATATAATTCACGTCGAATGCGAATAGGACTAATAGCATATCCAAGTCTCATTCGATTCAAAAGCCACAAAAGTGTAGTGGGCAAAGCCTACAACAATACTAAAATTGTATTGTAGAAGACTAAAAAGACTATCTAATAAAAACATTTTCATCGTCTATCTTCACATAGAGGAAGGTTGGTTGAGAAATACAATGACGTGATAAAACAAACCCATCATTTTTGTTTTAAAAATCGAAATTTGTGTTATAAGATGGAATCATAATGACATGATATATGTAAATAATGAAGTATTAAAAAGGGAACATCCCATTGCTTGGCATGTGGGGTAGAAGAAGCAAGAGGGAACACATACACAAACAGACATTCCATATCATGTTGGGGCTCTCTGCCAAACACAGGCCCCCCCAATCCCATTTCTTCCCGAAATTCCTCACTCTTGACTCAAATATAGTACAAACACTTTGCTTCAAAATTGTGATAATCTATAATATCGTCTCCAAAATTTCAAACATTTTCGTCTACCCATTTTAGCATATGGTAGCAATGAATTAGAAATCCTTTTATATATTATTATTTTGTCTCAACTCACCTATTGAACACCTATCACATGTGGCGAAGGTGGGTATTATTTATTATTTACATCTTTCTTCCTAAAATGTCAATCCAATCCATCTGGATCTTCTTGGGTTCTCTATACAAATCAATAAAAGAAGTGAGCATGGACCACACACAGTTTGGCCCCTATATGCATATTATGAAGCAACATTAAACACAGCATTTTGGTGTTTTATTACGACCACCAATATTACGATTCATCACCATCACTATATTCCTTCTCTTGAATACATAACCATCATGTTGAGGCTTGAAGTTGAGATGGTGGCAGCAGTCGCCAATTTAATGTGCAAATGTCCTTTTCTGCAATAAGGGTTTCAGTAATGGCTGCAAAAATTTTCCATATATACTAACATGTTGTTTGTCACATGGTAGGTGGTCTTTAAATTTTTTTTCTTTCCATTATGGATACTGACATCCAGATCTAAATCAAAAAGAGTGACAAAGTAATTTCTTGATGGGAAATTTCCCAGAAAAAAAAAAAAAAAAGCCATAAATGTAGAGCAAAAAGGTCAGTGGAGAGTGTTGAATTGAGAGGCAAGCAGTTGAAAGACATTATTTTCATTCAATAAATGAGCCTTTTTACAGTTCATTGACAACCCAATTGTTCAGTTGTTCAAAAACACTTTCAACTACCAAATCCGTGAAGCCAAAAATGAAAGAAACCATACCATTCACATTATTGCCAAGCCGCTATACTAATAAGTTAAAAGCAGCTTTTGATAATTAAATAAGTAGATGAACACTTTCCCTAGTGGAAGTGCTTCATAAAAAAGCCTGAAGTGAAAGCTTCTTCTTCTTCTTCTTCTTCTTCTTCCAATGCAAATGATTAAGATTAACATAAACAAATGCATACTTGTCTTTACAATATGGAGATGGAAATGATGTAAAAGATAGTGGGAAAATCTTTGACTGCCTGGCCCTCGCAAATCTTTATATCAATCTCTCCTTATATGTGAGAACTAAAACGAATCCAATGTAGCTGACCTTATTGTAGATTTTGACATTTCATATGAAGAGTGGAGACTATAATTTTTACTCATTGGAAAGGGGTCTTTATGTCTAGTTCCCAAGGGACAAAATTTTGGTAATGTGTTCCAATCTGTTATCTTTTTTTTTTTTTTCCATTACTTTAATGCAATCACTACTCTTAATAAAAGAAAGCTGATTTAAGTAGCTACTTAAACCACGTGATAATGTGGCTAACTTTGCGGCGTTCTTGTGCCCTCAACAATGGTGGCTACAAGTACAAGGCTATGCCAAAAGCGGCAGAGTTTGGTGCAGCCCTAAATTGTAGGAGTAGGCGTGCATTTTAAACAATAAAATTAAAAACATCAATTATACAATACATTAAAACTAGTCTAGAAGTTTAAGTAAGAAAATAGACGCCAATAATATAATCCCCATACCTTTTTGTTTGGGGAGAAAGAATATTTCGGGCCATAAAATGAGAGAGAACTGACACAAGGTAAGGTGAGATGCCCTTTGGTCGACACAGAACAGAGAGCCCACCTGTCAATTTATAGCTTTGAGGTTACTAAAATTTTTTACTGGGATTCACTATAACTGTAACGTTACAGTAACACCATTGAATAGCTCATTTTAATGTAATATGGTAGTATGGCGAATTGGCGATGGCCCCGTTGAGGCTATATCAGTATGCCCTTTTGGTCGTCACAGACCAGAGAACCCGTATGTCAATTCATAGCTTTGAGGTACTAAAATTTTTAACTGGGAATCTGCTGACTAGCTCTTGGTTGTACGGAAACTGTAACGTTACAGTAACACTGTTGAATGACCCATTTTAATGTAATGCAGTAGTATGGCCCCGTTGAGGCTGTATCAGTTTGTCCCTTAATGAGTTGTCCACAAACTATCCAACATCTACATAAATGATTGTCGAGGGTGAATCACCTTCAACATGGGAAATTTTTTTTACTATTGATTATACATAGGTTAAAGCAATTGGGGCATTGATATACTGAGATTTGATTGAACTAACTTACAATTGTCTCGTCTGATTATAGAGTAATATTGGAAGAACAGAGTTTTTGTTTTTGATTGATGAAGATGAGACATTTTATTAAAAGATCAAATCAAGTTCAAATTTAATTAGAAGGCTATGTAGTTTGAAAGTGTTAAGTAAATAGTCTTATTATTAATTAAAATTAATTAAACATGATTAGTGGTTAATTAGAATTAATGAAGTATTGTGTAATCTTTTAAAAATTATAATATGTCCCCAAAGAGCCGAAATTCTTGCAAACAAACCCAAACACCTTCTTCTTCTTCCTCGCCATTAATGCATCCCTCCCCTGGTTGTTGTTTTTTATAAGCTTCTTCTACATCTTCTTCTTCTTCTGCATTTTCTTCTTCGTCTACA